CAGCGCCGGCAGGGTACGGCGTGCGGTGCTGTGAGCCCGAGTCGCAAAGGACGCGCGGGATGGGGGTCGGCCGTGGGGTCCGGCTGCGGAACGGACGGGGAGGCTCCCCCGGGGATGCTCGGTGTACACACACCCGCATCCAACCCCATGGGTGCTCTGCAAACCCTGTGCAAACCCGCACCCGTCCCTAAGAAACGCAGGTCTGTGTCCTAAAGGCCCAACAGAGCCCCGCAGCATGGGATGAGAAGACATCACAGCCCAAATTGACATGGATATAGCAGGGCCCAGAGGTCCGGTCTTCACCCTCAATGCGGATCCTGACCTTTCTCACAAAACTGTCCCCAGATCCAGATTTCACAATGCCAGTTTTGCACCACTCCAAATGAGTGAGCCGGAGTGCCACTGGACTATCTGTACCCTTCTTGTCTTGTGCAACCCATCCCCCCGAAGCACTCCCCAAGCAGCATCACAGGCACATCTCCTTCAGTTAACAATCCGCTACCTTATGGAAATAATTGCAGGGAAGGCACAGCTGTTGTGCTTGTGACAATTCATATTTGCATAAGCAAAATGGATAACTGGACACCTTGGTGTTTGTGAAATAAATTGCCTACTTTGATGTGCAAACACACATTTTTACCCACCTTTGAAAGTTTGCCCAGCAGGGCTACCCGTGTTTGCAGCGATCACAAAAATCACGTTACAACCTCAGAGGAACATGTGTCGGCATCACCAGGCAGCCCTTACGTGTTCACGCCGCTCCTAAGTTCATGACATGCTGGTGGAATACTCAATAAATGCCCAGCATATTAATTTTTTGCAACTTTGAGAAGGGATGCCCAGTGTGTCGTTCTGGGAATACCAGGAACACGCTTGTCCCGCTGCTCCCCCAGTACCAATCCTGTGAGACAGCTGTGCTGTTAACAGGCATCCTTGCAGCCTCAGGCTGACCCCAGAGCCTCTTGAAAGGAGCCACTTGAAGCTCACATTGCAGTTTACAGGGAGGCTGCAGCTGTTTTTTACCTTTGTAGAGCAGGCACAGGCTGTGTGTGATGGGCAGAAGGTGCAGGTTCCCACTGGTCACACACATGACACTGACGGAAACCTGCTACAACAGCAGAAAAGTGTGCAACAAGTTACAATATCAAACGAAGCCAAAGTCTGAGCAGGTCTTGGTCAAAGGACTGTGAGAATGCAAAAAAAAAAAAAAAGTATTTGCAGGATTTTTCTTTTCCCCCCCACACCTTTCCACAGTGGCTGAAAAATTTCTTCCCCAAAACAGGCTACAAGAAACCCCTTCACACATGCATAATTTCTTTTCTCTCCAGCTCCTTCTTTCCAAATAGCTCTGGTAATATTGTCTAATAAGTGTCTGAGTGCCTGCACAATTGGTAAAATTCAATCACTTTGCAGATGTCTGCACAAAAGCCATAGTCTCCTGAGTGCACTTAAAGATTACCAACTCTTTTCCAAAGTTGGAACAGAAAAATGGGACAAAACATTGCCCCACAACACCTATAACAGATTATTTTTTTTAGTCACTAGGCTTTAAACTCCCTCTGCTATGCTCACTGCAAGAACAGAAATGTGAAATGTCTTTAAATAAATGTGATTTTTTTTCCCCATAAGGCTTTGCAGAGGAAGTACCAAGAATACCGACTCTTAAATTCTATGTATGTGCAGGGCCCAAAAAGTATTACAGCTCTGTACAAATCTTCAAACAATGGATAAGTAGAGTTTATAAGTAGTCTTACCTACAGTAGTTCTCACAAATGAAAGCAATGCAAATTTTGCAGGATCATGCTCTTCTCATGGAAAAGAAAAAAAAGAAAAAAGAGGATTACTTCTGAAGGCATCCTTGTGGATGAACAGAAATCAGACTCAAACAAGGTTCTAGCTGTTTGCCGTATCTGCAGACAGATAGTTCACTTTTGCAATTCAGAATTCAGAAGAATTGTGGAAGAATAATTAAATTTACCTGATGCCTCCATATTTTCCTGTTAACTGCAAGCAGCAGGGAAGGCTCATGCAATTCCATCTATTTCACAGGTTCTAAAGTTTTCTGTTAGTGTCCTTCGGAGGAAGAAATTCTCCCCATGGAAGAAAGGCAAAACCAAACACTTGGGGAAGACTGGAAGCCTTCCACTGGCACAGTGTAAAGGTTCATCCACAATCCAGAGTTTTCAACTCAAGGCTGGGTCCTGACAATATCTTGCTCCCAGGCAACTGCACATAGCCATGAAACCACCAAAACTGAGGCCAGTTTAGCCACCACAACGCAGTGTGGTGACTAAAGGAAGCACAGCCAGCAAGCTCCAGACAAAACCCGTGTCCTCTGAACACTGAGGCAGGGAAATTCTGTCAAGCATGGAGCTCTCTTGCCTCCTGGCTCATGTACCCTGGAGATTATCCTGCCATGCCACGCCACATTGGTAATCACTTCAAAAAAACACATACCTGGAATGCCCACGTCTTTCTGACAGGAAAAAAAAAAAAAAGGTGTATTGGGGAGAGAGAGAGCTGTGCATTTTGACAGATGGTAAGGACAAGGTAAAACAACATCAGGACCAGCCTGTTAGCCCAGACTCTCTCTCCATGCCAGGGGAGGCTTTGGAGGCCCGATGGATAAAGAAGGAAAGTACATTGGCAGCACATTCATAGACAGAATTTGATGAATTGCCTGCCCTCTGTTTATTGATGAACAGCTTCTTCAGGCACACAGGTGCACTGAGAATGACAAAAGCTGGGGAAAACAAAGGGACATTGGGACAAGCCCAGGCAGGGACATTTCCTGGGGACAAATGCTTATCTCAGCTAGAAATGAGACATACAAGTGGGGAATATGTGAAAATGTGGTAAGAAAGGGAAATAATGAGATTCAGGAGACAGACACCAATAAAAGGACTTCGGGGAGAGAGATTGGGGAAAGAGAAAAGACAGAGAAAGTGAGAACAATTTTTGAAACTACAGACAGAAGGCAGGAAAAATGAAAGAAAGTTTTAAAAGGGTGATAAAAATGGAGAAAGGAAAAGCTGAAAAAGGAAAGGAATTGATGGAGCAGAAAGAACAGCTGAAAGGAAACCAGCTGGGAGAGCAAAGGAAACTATACTTTAGGAAAAGAAAAAATAGGAATAACAGAAACAAGAGACAACAGTGAGGAAAGGGAATTAGCTTCACCACGAGAGGAAGCTGAGGAAGCTAATGGTGGGAGGGGTAAGGTAAGGGAGGACAGAAAAAACAAGCAAAAGAAATAGAGAATAAAGGTCTGCAGCACTATCAAGTCTTGCATTTGTCAGTGAAAGACTGTTTTGAGTGCAAGTCCTATTGAGTCTGGGGCAGAGGCAAGTGTGAACATGCACAGAGATAAGTTGGGGGCTGGACTCTGCTTCCCATATGGGAACCACTTCTGTCTTTATTGATGAGACTGCTGATAGCAGGGACACTGGGTACAGGGAACAGGACTTACACTTTTCAGCCCAGCCACCCAAAACCAGAGGGTGCTTTTAAATCTCCAAGAGATGAAAACAGCACCCAAAGAAACAGTTTTAATAGAATTCCTTGCTTACTCTAGGAATAAGTAAACTCTTATCTGCCTAGAGAGCATTGGCTGATGAAAACAAGATGGACTTTGCAAATTCTACATCCAGAGCCCATTTTGGACTTGGAATGAACCCGAAAGCTCAACAACATTTGGACTCAGTGTTTTGGTTACAAATCCTGCAAGAATTTTAAAACTTTTTTATTTGGATTGCACTTCAGATTAGGAAAACTGCTAATCCCAGGAAATGCTTAAAGCACTGCACAGATTAGGGTTAATCTATAGTGTGCAAAGAATTAAATATCCAAATCAATGTGCTGCTGAACATGCCAACAAAAAAATGCTGTGGGGAGGCTGCAATGTAATGGAACAGAGCTCTCCATACTACAAATCCAGCTGCTGAGCTTTGTAAAGCAGCAGACAGCGTAAAGAATGAAAACAAATAGCAGTTTAATAATGAATTACAATAATTGAGTCGAGAGGAAGCCAGGACATGAACCACGGCCTCAGAGTCCAGCTGAGTTAAAATAGTACAGAGAGTGGAAATGTATAATTTCAGACAATCCTGGGTGCTTATTTCTAAAGGTGAGCTGAGAGCTGTTTAGAATGACATGACCAGAGTGCAGGGCTGTGTATTTCTTCCATTGATGAAATCACTAACACCAAAATGGGGTGGCTCTCGTCCTGCTTTAAAGCAAACAATGTAGGCACAGCAGCCCATTCCTTCTCCTGATAGCAATAATTCCCAGAGCCACTGATTGAAACAAATTGCTGTTGAAGCCACTTGTGTAGTTGGG